TTTGTTCCTCTTTCATAGCATCTTTTAAACACAGTCTATCAATAGAGGCAGACACTCTTAAAATTAACTTCTCGGTTCATTGTTCAAAAATATTCTTCAATATGTCCAATGTTAAAATATTTTGCTTCATTCTGTATTTGTAAGTCAAGTTTGAGTGTTCTTCTCCTTTAATTGTAATCTTTAGTTCCTTCAAGTTCCCTCTAGTGTCCAATTGTTAGTCTTTTTTATTTATTTATTTTTAAAGAATTCAAAACAAAAGCATTTTCCCACAGGAAGGATTCTTTATAATTAATTCCAAGATCTTATTTCAAATTTATCTGCACCTTTGGTCTATTTGCAACTTTCTAAAATCCAAGTTTTAATCACCCTTTTGCTGTTTATTCCAGAATTTTTTTGGGGGGGGCTTAAACTTGTATTTAAAACTTCTTTTGCTAAGGATTGAAGGACACTCAGCTAGTGCTGTAAAACTTGCCGATCCAAAGGTTCCTAATAGCTGAAAGGAAGTTAACAAGCAATTTCCGAAAGTGATTAGAAAAGGAAATATGCGAGCTCAGTGTCCTTTCAAAGGCGCCGACCAGAGTTTGTCTTGCAGTCTCTTCACAAGGAGCAGCTGTCTGGATCTCAAGTCCTCTCCTTGTCTGGAGAGGAATTACGAAGAGCCGGTCTACTCACCAGCTCTTCGTTCCGCCCCAGTCATAGACTTTAAAAAGAAGACAGAGCCATCTTCAGTTCACCGTTTCTTCCCTGGAAGTCCACAACTTCTATGAGAAACTTTCTTTTCTAAGTGCTAGCCATTTCAACTGTCATGACCTTTGCAGACCCCCTGGAGAACAAAGGCTCTGACCCCAAACCCTTGCAGGCGGTCCAGAAGGATACCGTGGTTGATGGTGTTGAAGGCCACAGAGAGAGATCCAGCAGGAACAGTGGAGTCGCTCACCCACCTGGGTCCCGCTCTGGGTCATCGGCGAGAGCAGCCAACACGGCTTCCACCCAGGGCCCAAACCTGAACCCTGGTCAAAACGGGTCCAGAGCCCTTTGTGGCTGCCTTTGTTCTCAACAGCCTTCCCCCAAAGGAGAGGCTGGGCACTGGGCGGCAGCTGGATCCAGGGCAGCCCTTTGAAAAGGGGCTCTGGCATCTCCCCCTCCCACAGGGAGATCCTGTCCCCTCCCCTCCCTGGCAGCTCATCCCAGTCAGGGTAGGGGTCTTGCCCCCAGGTGGCGGAGCGCATCTCATCAAGGGTTACGCCCACTTCCTCAGGAGCAGAAGGGTCCAGCTGTTCCCAGATGATAACTCAGGATGTCATTGTGGTCACCTCTTTGGACTTTAAGCCATTGCTTTTTTAGATGTTAAAATTCATGCATTTTCTGTATTAGGAAGATGATTTCCCAAACTCCCTCATTATCCAGTTCACTGGATGCAGCTAGCAGAGGTAGCAAAAGGGGTAGCCAATACGGGTCAGCCAGCCTGCTCCTTCTCCTAGATGAGCTAAACAGATTGGGTGAATACTGGCTAAAGGGAGCCGAATTCTGGACAGAGGGACCCATGGACACGTTGCAGCTGCACAAGTTGCTTTTGCATCTTTAAGGACTGTAAAACACATTTGACATAAAATCTAAGCACTGAGATGCTGCCCCCTCACATGGAATCCATGACTTGGAGCATAAAGTAATAATTTGTTGATTTATATACATCTTGGCCGTGTTTAAGCTTAAACACGGCCAAGATGTATATAAATCAA